TACAGGTTGAAGGCCAGGTGGAGCAATGCCACCGAGCCGCCCAGCATGGCTGTCCTGCACCAGCCGCGCCCCTTGGAGCGTGGCTTTACCTTGCAAGGGCACGTATATTTGGACTGCGGGTGCAGGAGCCTCATTGTTTCCTCCAGCCTTGTCCGCCAAGGCGAGCAGGGCTGGTGGGTGGGTGTTTTCCAGCACAGCAAAGGCACCAAGGGCTGGAACACCACTGCCGTCTGCATCTTCGGGATGGAGGAGGTGAAGGACCAAGCCTGTGCATCCACGCACTTCATGAACGGGAAGAGCTGTGTAAGTCTGGGCGTCGTTTTGCTAAGCTTTCCTCTTGCACGCCGTTGTTGTCACTGTTGTTGTGTGTCGCTGTGCATGACTCGTGGGGTGTCCCTGACCTGAAGGCACGTGAAGTTTGCGAGGAACTTCAGAGCCGTGCCAGCCTTTGTGCATCCGCGCTGGCTCCATCAGCCCTAATGAGTTCTCCAGCGCTTTCAGTTTCTAAAAAACTGATCCCATACCAGATCCTGGAGTGTCCTTCCTGCCCACATCTCGGGAAAGACATGTCTGAGGGAACACCTGAGGGCGTCCTGGGCCAGGCCTGAGTCTCTGGCTCCTCACTCAATGCACCCTTTTCAGTCAAGGGTTACTTGTACTTCATTCTACTGTACAGCCTAGCTGAAGCATCTCCTACCTTATTCTGTGCATTCACATCTCATGTCATTGCAGCTACATCAGAAATGGAAAAAAAGTCCATCAGACTGATTCCTGTGCACTGGGCTGTGTGCGCTGTTATCCCCATCGCTCACTGGTTATTTATGGTTGCTTGTTCGGTTGTAGGTGTTTCCCAAACCTCCCACGATTGGCCTTGCTGGAGAGGGCTCTCAGCCACCCCCCCAAACCCCTGTGCGCAGCAGACAGCAATAGGCAATGTGTCTTTGTTGTCACAGTGGTTACATTTTCACAGGCAGTGGTATTCCATGGAGATCCCCTGGTCACCTACTTCTCTAACACTCTCTTCAGCTCCTTCCTCCTTCTGAGAGTGAGCTGTGCACATGGAAGGCAGGGTGGGCAAGGCTCTGCTGGCTTTGCTGTGGCCTCGGTAGCTAGTATAGGAATGAACTAAAAATGAGAATCAAGAAGCAAAAAATGTAATTTGGGAGAAGAAGATGGTTTTGAAAGGCCAGTCCGTGCTTTTAAGTCATGCTCAGAAGTCTTTGTCAGAGCTGTGGCAAAAGGAACAACACTGAAAGGTATCAGGGACAGCTGTGGGGGATCAAGCAAGCCATCATAAAGCAAGCTCTGGCCTTTGCAGCTCCCCGACCATCCAGGCACTTTGCAGCTCAACCCCTGAATCCTTGCTGTGTTACGATGGGAGTTTGTGGAAACTGCTTGAAAGAAGTGTGGTAGGTTTACTGTCACTCCTTGGCTTCCCGAATCTGGCCCATAGCAGGGCACAGTGTTGAGATTCTTCCAAATACAAACTACCAGAGGGCACGTGGGATTCAGGCTGCTCATCTCCCTACTGAGTTGCGAGACTACTGCCAGTGTTAGAGGACGTAGTTATGAATGAGAACCCCGTATGTGGGTGAAACAACTGCGATGAAGTAAATAGTGAAATTCTCGCAACAGAGCTGGAGCCAATCCTTACATTTCCAGTGCCAGATTATAGCTTACTGCATGATTTCTGTGCTCTCACAAGACAAACTTGCTGAATAAATTTGCAGTCTCATCTGCATCCCAAAATACGTATTTGCTAGTTGGATTTTTAATTTGTATTCCTCGTTCCTAATTACTCATGGGGCTTCTTTGCGAGGTGCTTTCTGAGCCTGCAATACAAAAAAAACCTAAAAACCAACCCAAAACCAAACCAAATCCTCCCTGGGTAGCAGTTCCTTTACGAACACTTTACAAAGCCCCGTGCTAGAAATTCTAGAAGAGTCTCATGGATTTCATAGAGTAATACAATGCACATAAGGTGAGGCGAGTATTTCTGTCTGAATGGTATTCCTCTCTGTCCCCTGTCCCAGTTGGCTCCCAGTGCCTGAATATGAAAAATCAATGATCCACTTGTTTAAGGATCTGATCAGATCAGTTTCCTGTGACTCCAGAGTTACTTTAATGTCCCAAAAGGCTTATCCCTCCAGGAAATTTAGATTATATTTGGCTACCATGCTGAAGAACCCCAACTTTAAAAATTATTAGAAAGATTGTTTGCTTAACATTGTGTCCCTAACTATGGTGATGTTATTAATAATGATATTTTTGGCACAATAATAAATAGTTTACCACTGACGGGAAAGTGGTATTTTACTATTTTGTGAGGTAGCAGGACATCTGAGTGTTGTGGAGTAGTATGACCTATAATATTATACTGCTAATTATGCTCCCTTTTTAAGCTAATTATATGTGTTTGTGGTGTATAAACACAGAAATAAATGCGTGTAGTTCAGCTTTAATATGGTTTTTTTATACTACAGAAGGTTAGGCTAGGCTATTGCAGAGTAAGTTTGGAGTTGACAGGCCCATATGCTGCTGCTTCTGGGTTGTTTTAGTCCAGATCCTTCTACTGTCTCTCACCAAATCATGGGAGTCCCTGCAAATGTGGAACAAGTCTTCTTGGACTCAGAACTGGCAGGAAGATGGTGTGCAGCATGTCCGTTGGCGCACAGCTTGTAGAAGTGTGTGCAGTAGCTAGCAGCGGCTCTGGCTGGAAAGGTGTTGCTCGTAGCACGGAGCCGTCACACGTGTTTTGTAGTACGACGTGTGGGAATGGCAGCAAGCAACAGTACTTAACGTGTGCTTTAAAGCCCAGTCTTTTAAAGATGGTGTCGATACTGAGGAAAGGAATGTGTTGCAGCATTGTGATTGCCTGGAGCGCAAGGCCTGTATGGTGTTCGTGGCGGGTGGACCGTGCGGAATGTCAGCCCGCCTTTTGCACTGCAGATGTTGTGTGCTACAGGGTGCTGTGGGTCTTGGTCGTCTTTGCTGGGTACACTTCAGTTCTGGAGCTGAGGCATGATGTGCGGTACACAGATCATAGTCACGGGCATGGACTGTCAGTTTATATAGGAGTTGAAAAAAACAGTGTTTTTCACTGCAGGAATACAGTTTAGTGTTAGAGTATAAATTAGGGAGTGGTGGCAGTTTGTTTTCCTTCTGATCCTGTCATTCTTCAGATTTCTGTAATTATTCTGATGACCTTTAGGCAAGACATCCTCTTACCTGTCTGCACTCACACAGCTGTTTGTATTTATGCTGCATAGGCACTGTGCTTCTCAATAGTACACTGCAAGAGGGACTTAGCGCCGAGGCCTTTTGTGGCCCTGAATTCCCTGCTGTGCTATATACTCTGAACTCATTCCTGTAAGGTACTGAGCTTTCTGGCCCTAACCCAGTAAAGCACTTAAGGGCATATTTAACATTAGGCATATAAGTAGTTCCATCATCTTCAGGGGAACTGCCCATGCATTTAAAGTTCAGCATGAACTTGAGTACTTCCCTGGATTGGAACTAAATTGCTCTGTATCCTGTAGGAACTCATTGTAGGTGTGTAATCTCTTTAGCCTTGCATTGCTACTTAGGCCAAGGTTGACATTTGCATTAAGTTTTAATGCTGGATCTTAGTCTGTCATTGAAAATTAGTAATTTTTAAGATCCTCACTTGCCAACTTTATCAGAAAGTAGGTGACTGCTACAAATTCTGTGGGATTGCTGCTTTTGGGAACTAGCTAGTTCTGTTTTCGTTTTGTGCAGTAGTGTGCACAGAGCATTTTCTCCGAGTTGGATGCATTTATTCTGGACATATATAATGGATTCCCAGAGACGTAATCCTAGTTAGCAAGAGGCAAGTGGTGTCTTAGATGAAACTATTCTGAAAACATTTTGCAGTTTTATATTCAGCTTGTTTTCCTCTGATCCACACGTCTCTTAGTTTTGATTATATCGACTTAGATGCACTGTTGAGGTGTATGCGTTAATGGACTTGCTAGCATAACCTGCGTGTACGTAAGAACATCTTCTTCACAACTTACATAGTTAATAAATGTGAATTTGCCAAATCTCGTTCTCTGTTCCTTTTCAGAAACCCGACTGAGCACTAACAGACATTTTTGGTGGATCTCAATTTTGAAATCAAAGCTCCTTAGGCAGTACATAGGAGGAATGCTGGAGTTCGTTCACAAACTTGCTCTAGTAGCTAGTGATCTTTAAAAAGGCCTTTCCTTCTGTTGTTTCATGGGTGAACAGGAGCTGCTAGAATCTCAGATCTCCCAGGATCTTGTGTATCACAGCCAAGGAGATGAGTAGGAGAAGTGCTCAAGACTAGAGAACATCAACAGGAGAGAGCTGTAGGATATTACCTAACTACAATGACCAATCTGGAAATCAGTTTTGCCATTAAAAAAAGTTTCATGGGAAGAAAAGGATTTTACAGTTTTTAAGGGAGAAAATCCAAAGAAGTGTTAGGCATGTACATGTACCGAGAGAGAAGTTGCTGCAGTTTATATTAAGGTGTTTATTTTATGATGTGCAAAGGCTAAGTAGCTGTGATAGCTACTGAATGATAAGCTATCTTGGTTGGATTTCCATCTGCTATTTAGTGCAAGTCTGTTCTTTGAATTTTTGCATTTTTCAGTGGGTGATAAATCTGTGGGTTGGTATATGCCCCTTAATTTATTGAGCATAGTTGGAATCCTAGGACAAACCTTAGCTGGTGTAAGCTCTACTGAAATGGTATTTTGAAGTCAACAGAGTCACATCAGTTTAATCATGGCCATTCATTTGCAGGAATGACATTTGAATTTGTGTGGTAACTCATTCCAAAATGATTCATCATCTTTTATTTAAGGAAAGAATTACAGACTTCTAAATATCATTTGGTATCAGAATTGATCCTGTAATGAATTTTCTAGTAGTAAAGTTGTCTCCTGTATATTACCAGGCTGCTTATATGTCATCTGATGTTTGACAGTTTCTAGAGTTAATGTTTCTGTCCTGTTCTGTCCAGAAACAATGAGTTTCTAGTTCATCCCTGTTTGGTGTGAGAAGTAAGCCATAGGAGACTTGCAACTCACACTGTCAGTAGGAGGAAGAGCTGCTTTTAGTCACTCAGCTTCACCAGGAGCAGGAACTTTAGAGAGCCCGGGGGCTCTTGAACCATAGGTTTTGCTTTCTTGGGATCACAGAGTCATTCAGGTTGGAAGGAACCTCAGAGGAGGTCTCCAGCCTAGTCCCCTGCTCACAGCAGGGTCAGCTCTGAGGTAAAAGTTGCTCTGGCCTTTGTCTTGTTGGATCTTGAA